CTTTCAAAAACTACTCGGCAGGTGATTGAATGAAGCATCTTTCTTTTACCATCTGTCAAGGGGGAACTTCAACCAATCAGATCAATAAACTATATAACGTAGTCAAACTCTTACTCCAGTTGGGATGAAGAGCAAAAACATATTTTCCATTTAGAAAAGCCTTCAGTTCAGTTCTTTGCTCCTCTTTCAATGAAGAAATAGTCTCCACTTCTGATGTAACTGATGCTAGCAGCATTTATGCTAACCTTCTGTGTGCCCAACCCTGTAGCTGCCAAAGGATGCTGATTGGTCTGGTATCACGTAGTTTGGCCACAAACACATAGATTAAAGCCTGACAGGATGGATTCTCGCGAGTCCCGCTGCCTCGCAAGGTTGACAATGTCCTTCTTTAGTTTCCAAAAAACTCACTTTTGCTAAATGCTTGTACTTCCTGTGTCGCAGAGAACAGACATTAGGTATTTTAACTGATTAGCTTTTATAGAGATCGCTGATCAAAGTAATTAGAGCCAATATCGACCGATTGCGATCGGTGAGCGATCGATCAATCAAGCACTCTTACTAGTTAGGATGTATAACTAATGTTATATATTAGTTAGTGATGGAAAGTATGCAAACAGACCTTTGTCAGCTAATATTCAATTCTTATGAATGATCACGTGTAGTTTATTTAAGATTAATGAAAAGTAAGATAAATTTCGCCCGTTGTGGTTATTTAATGTAATATGTATTGCTGTTAACAAATTGGCCATTATCTGTTTTGACTCAACCTCAGACACTGAAAGCGTGTCTATCTAATCAGGGCTGGAGGAGGGTTCTCATTACAAGTGGGGTGAAATTTTTCAAGCAGGCCCTAATTTGCACATACTGGCTGACACTTTGATCCCGGTTTTCTCATTTAGTATCTTAATTGTATGATGCTACGGTTTCTCCGTAGCATCATACAATTACCCAGCTGGCGCTTGGACAAAAATAACTCTAAAGGGAAGCTGATACACTCATAGTAATACATTTTTTTAATCTGTTTTTGTGAAAATATATAAATGAAATTACAAAACAGACCTTGATGAACATTTTAAAAGGCACATGCAGTATATTAGTAGCCATTTGAATTTGAAAATCAATCTAAAACGCAGTACATTTCTGTCAGGCTTGCTTGGGTGCCATAAACCACTGTTTGGCATGACAGGACAACAAAGGACAGTCAACCAACCAGTTTATCAAGCCATGGTGTGAGACCCGTTGTACTCCTCAGAGAAGCCTTTCAGCATCATAGACAGCATTCATTTACTAACAAATAACAGTCCTATATGTGTGAGATGAGATGGAAACACCAGTACTGGTATGTTGACAAAATGACAAAATTGCTCTGCAGAGTTTTGACCTCAAGCAAGACCCCGCTATTCTGTATTCTGTAACCTGCATTGTAGCCTTACTAGGTGTTAACATTAGTGTAAAATGCACAATAAAAAGGACAAAAAGCATGTTTTTAATGGAATAAAAGATGATTTCTGTTTTGTAGGCTTACATTTGATCAAGGTGACACTACTACAAATTTAGCAAACTAATACTTTAGTTTATGTCCCTATTGGCACTGTATTTTTTTTTTTTAACATAAGGTGTAGATTGCTGGTGTTTGGAGTTTGTGAGCGGTTATACTGGATGGCAGTGCTGTGATAGTCTTTAAAGGACTAGTGTGGATTTATTCATTCTAAGGTAATGAAAACAACAATTCTTATTATACACTACACCTATGAATATTATATTCAATTTCTAACTATTGATCCTCCTAAATGTTACATGTTGGACCTTTAATGAGCTGTTTA